AACCTTAAACTCCCAGGCTCAAGCAATCCTCCTGCCTCGCCCCCTGAGTTGCTAAGACTACAGGCACATGCCAACATGCCCAGCTTTTTTTTGTTTTGTTTTGTTTTTTAGATAGACATGATCTTGCTATATTGTCCAGGCTGGTCTCAAACTCCTGGCCTCAAGCAATCCTCCTGCCTCAGCCTCAAAGTGCTGGGATTACAGGTGTTGAGCCACTGCCCCCAGCCCTATTCAAACAATTTTTAACACATGCCTCTTAGAATACTCTGTGCTTTTCTATTATACTTTACTATTTTCAGGCTGGGCGCAGTGGATCACGCCTATAATTCCAGCACTTTGGGAGGCCAAGGCGGGTAGATCATGAAATCAGGAGTTCGAGACCAGCCTGGCCAACATGATGAAACCTTGTCTCTACTAAAAATACAAAAATTAACCAGGCATGGTGGTGGGCACCTGTAATCCCAGCTACCCAGGAAGCTGAGGCAGGAGAATCTCTTGAACCTGGGAGGTGGAGGTTGCAGTGAGCTGAGATTGTGCCATTGCACTCCAGCCTGGGCAAAAAGAACAAGACCCCATCTCAAAAAAAAAAAAAAAATTTACTATTTTCTTGTTAGTCCCCATTAACTCTGTGAGGCTCTGCATTATGTCTCATTTATCTTTCATTCCCAGCATGTAGCACAGCATTTGGATGTTTTGTTGAACTGAAAGGTATTCCAAATAGAATAGGATTAACAAGTGGAATTTAGAAATAGGCATGATGTTAGGATGACTTTATGTAAATCAACTTATCTAAAAATGAAATGATGCATATCAAATGTAAGGTATAGAGCCTGGTGTGGTGGCTCACACCTGTAATCGCAGCACTTTGGAAGACTGAGGTGGGTGGGTCACCTGAGGTCAGGAGTTTGAGACCAGCCTGGCCAACATGGCAAAACCCCATCTCTATTAAAAATACAAAAATGGCTGCTCTGTCTGTGGAGTAGCCATTTTTTTTTTATCCCTTANTCCATTTTTTGAGTAACCTTTGTCTTTTAAATATTTATTTAAAAAATTATCATATGGTAAAATTAATTAGCCCTTTTAATAGAAAGTATTTATTAAAAATTAACATTGGCCGGGCATAGTGGCTCATGCCTGTAATCCCAGCACTTTGGGAGTCACTTGAGGTCAATAGTTTGAGAACAGCCTGGCCAACATGGAGAAACCCTGTCTCTAGTAAAAAAAAAAAAAAGCCAGCTGTGGTAGCAGGCAGCTGTAATCCCAACTACTGGGGAGACTGAGACAGGGAGAATTGCTTGAATCCAGGAGGCGGAGGTTGCAGTGAGCCAAGATAGCTCCACTGCACTCCCACTTAGGCAACAGGGCAATCACGAGGTCAGGAGTTTGAGACCAGCCTGGCCAACATGGTGAAACCCCATCTCTACTAAAAATACAAATATTAGCTGGGTGTGGTGGTGGGTACCTGTAACCCCAGCTACTTAGGAGGGTGAGGCAGGAGAATTGCTTGAGCCTAGGAATTCAAGGTTTCAGTAAGCTGAGATCATACCACTGCACTCCAGCCTGGGGACAGAGGAAGACTCCATTTAAAAAAAAAAAATTGTGTTTTTTGTACAGATGAGGTTTTACCATGTTGCCCAGGATGGTCTCAAATTCCTGGGCCCAAGCAATCCTCCTGCATTGGCCTCCCAAAGTGCTCAGATTACAGGCGTGAGACACCGCCCCTGACTAAGAATACCATTCTTATTTGATCTGTCATCCACCCACCTCAGCGAAAAATACAAAAATTAGCCAGGCACAGTAGCTCATGCATGTAGTCTCAGCTACTCAGGAGGCTTAGGTGAGAGGATTGCTGGAGCCTGGGAGGTGGAGGCTGCAGTAAGTCATGATCATGCCACTCACTGTGCTCTAGCCTGCATGACAGAGCAGGACCTTGTCTCAAAAAAAAAAGAAAGAATGGTATTCTCAGTCAATGAGGTGAGTTGTGGTTTCTCTAGGAGTGTTTTTATTTGGTGTCATCCTCATGGTGGCCAATATTGTGCTAATATTGAATAATCAAAACTAAATTCACATTTTCTCTTTTGCTGAATTTGCATGTCACAGTTTTCCCTTCCCATCCTAATTCAGTTAGCTCAATAGAGCCTCTGAACCTTCCTGCTCAGTTTTTCCTTTTTTTTCAGGGGTTTATGTCTGCATAATCAAGGTTCAACCGCAGTCAGAGGAGCTGCTACAGGCCCTCAGTGTGGCTGACACCTCAGTCTATGGGTGGGCTACACTGGTCAGTGAACCTAACAAGAATGGAATGCAACGAATCCTCATTCCTTTCATCCCAGCCTTTTATATTAACCAGTCAGAACTGGTTCTTAGCCACAAACAAGATATCGGGGAGATAAGAGTACTGGGAGTGGACAGAGTTCTTGGGAAGCTAAAGGTATGTTAAGGACTAAACCAACAGAGAACAAGAGATCAGGAATTTGAAAAGATATTTTTCATTCTCACTCCAAGGGCAAAAGAAGTTACTGAGTGACAATAAAAATCACCACAGGAAATTACAAAATCAAATGAAGAAAACCCACCTCCTTCGTAATGCCAGGCAGGCTGCCAGGGTCCAAATCTAGGTCATGAGCTTTGTCAACATACCTAAGGGGGTAAAAAAAGTAAATTATTTATTTAGTGTTGGCTAGCTAGCTAGAAATCCAGATCTTGACAATTCTTGTACTGTATATGTTTGAGATTAGAACATACTGATACAAAACTGATTTTTCTTCTTTTAAACAAGAGGTTTTCTCTTTTCTCCAAGGTTGTCTCCAGCTCCCCAGTTCTAGTGGTTGCTGGCCATAGCCACTCTCCCCTCACTCCTGGCCTGGCCATCTACCCTGTTAGAGTGGTCAACTTCACTTCCTTCCAACAGATGGCATCACCTGTTTTCATCAATATTTCCTGTGTACTCACCAGTCAAAGTGAGGCAGTGGTAGTGAGGGCTGTGAAAGATAAGTTGGGTGCAGGTAAGCATCAGAGATTGCTATTTATAATCTAGAGAGGGAAAGAAGAAAGAATGTATTACAGTAGTGCCCCCCCATCCCCATCTACAGTTTTGCTTTCCAAGGTTCATGTAACCAACAGTCAACCATGGTCCAAAAATACATGGAAAACTCCTGAAATAAACTGTTTAAATTGTTCACTTCCAAATAGCATGAGGAAATCTCACACTGTCCTACTCTGGTCTCCTACCACGAATCATCTCTTTGTCCAGCATGTTCACTCCGTATACACTACCAGCCCTTTAGTCACTTAGTAGCAATCTCTGTTATCAAATCAACTGGTATCAAGGTGTCACAGTACAGTGCTTGTTTCAAGTAACCCTTATTTTACTTAATAATGACTCCAAAGCACAAGAGTAGTGATGCCTGCAATTCGGATATGCCAAAAAGCAGCTGGAAAGTGCTTCCTTTAAGTGAAAACGTGGAAGTTCTCAACTCAGTAAGGAAAAAACATAGTACATAGAGGGTTCAATATTATCTGTGTCATCCACTGGGGATCTCGGAAAATATTCCCCACAGATAAAGGGGTCACCTATTCTCACAATTTAGGTAATGGGAAACATTCAGCCACTTGACCAAGATTACTCAAACTAGTTGAGGCATGAATCTTCTAAACCTACCTAAAATACAACCTTTAGGTAGCTTTCTTAACACTAGCTAAAATTTACATTTGACTTATATATTTAAGAATAGTTGGCCGGGCGTAGTGGCTCACACCTGTAATCCAAGCACTTGAGGCCAAGGCGGGTGGATCACCTGAGGTCGGGAGTTCAAGACCAGCCTGACCCACATGCTGAAACCCCATCTTAATAAAAAAAAATAATAAATAAAAATAAAAAAGAATAGTTGTCAGGTGTGGTGGCTCATGCCTGTAATCCCAGCATTTTGGGAGGCCGAGGCGGGTGCATCACAAGGTCAGGAAATAAAGACCAGCCTGGCCAATGTGGTGAAACCCCATCTCTACTAAATACAAAAAATTAGCCGGGCATGGTGGCAGGTGCCTGTAGTCCCAGCTACTCGAGAGGCTGAGGCAGGGGAATCGCTT